TATGGGGGTGGAGTGGGGAATGGGGTCAGAAACAGTGGGGGGAGGGAAATGCACTGGACTATGGTGATGGCACACGGGTGATGTGGTGATGGGAAGCCCAAGGGGATGACCACCGAGATGGAAAAAATGCATAAAATGATGTGAAAATAAACTACTATATTATTCATTCAAAAAAAAAAATGGTGAAGGTCCGTGCTACCTGGTCTTAGTGAGTGTGCCTGTGTTCGGTCGTGTCCCACTGCCTTCTGAGTACTCTCTCCCCTGGGCTCCAAGGCTGTCGCTCCAAGGCATGGAGCAGCAGGACGCGGAGGAGGGCGCAAGCTCACCACTGAGCAACGTCATCCTTTGGGTATGGCCAAGGACCACAATTCTAATGAAGAAGAAAGTCAGTGGATTTTTTTTTCTTTTTGCTGGCACCCATGGAGACATCAGGTCATACACAAAATACAGAAGATGCAGAACAGTCATTAAATGAGATTACTCTTGGCAGAGGGAGGGTCCAGGAGAAATCCCCTGCTGCGGTTTGCCATGGCCGGCAAGGCAGCAACTCCCTATGTAAGGGCAGACAAAGGCTTTGAACCTGCTGAGCTCCAGGGACATGCTGGACAGCGACAAAGAAGTCTCAAACCAGGACTGAAAGTTTGGTATAAAGGTCTGGGAGGGGTCCAAGCTGCAGGGAGACCAGACTCTAATGCGTGCCATTTGGGACAAGAAATACAAGCATTTGGGAAAACACGAGAACTAACCAGGGAGGCTGTGACACATGCCACGTGATAAAAATGTCAGGGTCCTGGAAAGCTGTGAACATGGCAGAAGGCTCAAGGCAGGCTGAGACTAGAGAGCAGCCACCGATCTGACTGTGCCTTAAGTTACCAGTGATCGCCACAGTGAATTAAGACCACCTCGCGTTGAGTATGAAGCATAGTGGCGACGTCTGCCCAAAAAGTAAATGCTCACGGTGTCCTGTGTAACTTGCACGCTGGGGCCAGCTAAGAGCAAAGCCTGCAGTTATTCAGGACTTGCACTGGTGACAAGCCTCAAACACTCTGAGATAGAGCCCGACAACAAAGGGGCGCCCAGAAGCTGGGCCGCTGTCCTGGTTTAGCAACTCCAGAACCTCAAGCAGTTGCGTTTTAGTGCTGGAAACCACAGCCAGAGGGAATGCTGGAAGACCTCAACCCCCCCGCCCCCCGGGGGGGAAGGAGGCCCTGGCCCATCGGCACATATACAGCCTCTGCTCTGCAAGTGCTCCTGCCCCACAAGTGGGCAGCACACACAGAACCGTGTGCTGTCTTGTGACAGGGCATCAGAAAGATGTGCCAGGGTGCGCACACCCTGGGCAGCCCACAGGTCACAGGGCCTGCCGCATCGCAACATCTTTCCCTCGTTTGTGTGCATGGATTTATGTTTCTGCTTGTCCACTTTATGAATTTCCATAGCGTGGGTCATAAAACTAAGGGAAAATAGCTCACCAGAGAGTTCTTCAGTGTCTGTTGCTCTTACAATGCCTAAAGGACACTGGCGGTGCAGCTGGGGGAGGAGTGCAGGGGCGCCCACTCATGGGGGACGGAGGGTTTGCACCTCAATCCTCCAGTCTCCTGCCGAGCGCCGCCTGGGCACACTGCCTGGAAAAGAGAAGACACACTTCAGAGGCAGCACACTGGGTGCTCCGAGAAGAGGCAAGAAAGGCCCAGGTCTGTTCTGTGGTAGAACTAAGTCACAACTGACCTTTAAGTAAGGGAAAACTCACATTTCCAACTAAAACAGCAATGATTAAAGCTAAGAATTAAAAAATTTCAGAGATGCTTACTCACATACAACAGTTTTGGACCTACAACTTAATCGGAAAGAAATAAATAATCTACATTTCGGAGGTATTTTGACCCAGAAATGGCTCTGAGACGTCTCCCCTACATTCCAGTCCTTGTATACTCCCTCAGGCAGTGCCTTGGGCTTTGCCACTGGACTCATTTTGGCTACAACAAAATCAGTGCAGGATGAAGAATACTTTTCTGGGGGTTCCACCTTCTTGGAACACTGTCATCTTGTGAAGACACCTGCGTGAGCCTGTTAGGGATACGCAGCTGACTCAGCAGCCATCATAAATCCAAGGAGTCAGTGAAGTTCTTAACCCAAGCAGCCTCTGTCCAGGCACAGGTGACTACGCTGTATGTCAGCCAGGTTCTCCACAAGAGCAGATACTGAGCTACGGAAAGCAGCCAGAATGTGAAACCACACACTTCTGGCAAATATGGCGGTTAGGTGTTTTGTTTTTTTTTTAAGTTGGTAAATTACAGTTGGTTCTTCACAGCAAATGCTAAGTGGTCTGTCTGAATCCCTACACTCCATGTTTGTGGCAAGTTGTGGGGCAGAAATGCTTGAACTCAGCACCAAATACAATCAATAGAACCTCACCACCACTCTGGAAAAGCTTAACAAATGTCAGGAGGCTGCTGGACTTCATTGCAAAGAGAAACTTCACTTACATGCAAAGAAATGGCCTGCAGAGCAGAAGACTATTTTAAGTTTGATGTCACAGCCAGGTCTTGTCCTTAAGCCAGCAGTCTCTGCTCTATTTCCAAGCTGAGGAAGGGCTGAGCAGTAGCCCCATGACGGTCTAATTTTCCTGCCTTCGATGTGAAATAGGCTCAGTTGTTGATTTCCCGGGGACGATGACTACATTATACCTAATCATGAACCCCATGAGCTCAGAGTCACAGAGAGCAACAGGATGTGCGGGCCAGCACCGGTTGGCTGCCTTTCTTGGAAACGGTGTCAAGAACAAACACAGGTTTTGGCCCAAGTGCGGGAAAGCAGGAACACTAGCCCAAGGTTAATGGATACGAACCCTGTGGCCTTAACAAATTACAGGCTCTCAGGTGGCAAACTTTTTCAGCTTCCTTAAAGAGTAGAAATACCCAACAAGCTGAGCGGGCAAGGTACTGTTGATGGTGAAGGCTGCCCACAGAATCCCATCCAAGAGACCACACACCAATGAGTTGGGTCAGATTCTGGACACAGAGGTAGGAGGAAGGACTGGTGGATTCTCTGAGTTTCCTCAGTCGGTCCTCCGCCAGGCCACACCCTGGAGACCTTCCCCGAGGAACCCTGGAATCTCTGTGCAGCCCCAGCCCAGCTCAGGTCTCCTGGAAACAGCCACACATGCAGTAGCTCATGGCAGCCCGTAGCAGTGCCCAGTCCTGTGGGCTCTGGGGCGACACATGGAGACTGGCTTGGCTCGGAGAACAGCATCTTCCTCTGTAGGGCCTGGGGCTGGTCTTCCAGCAGGTTCCTGCTCCCTGGTAGGCTCACCGTAGCGCTTCCTAACAACTTTCCGCTGTGGACCCAGGCCTGGGCTCCAGAGCCCTGATGTTGCCCCAGAACCCACGGTGGCTGGGCAGCTGGGCTCGAGACACCTGCAAAGGGAAACCTGGAGCATGGGCGGGGGTAGGGTAAACTGACACCCCACCTGCAGAGGCCCTAAGGACCACCGGACACAACCACACAGAGAGACTGGGCCCCGACCTCCTCCTCGGTCATTCTCCGGGACTGGGGATGTCACACAGACCAAGATGTATGGTCCGGGATCCCCAGACCCACCCTGCGGAGCGGGGTCTCCCAAGGGCCACCCCGGGGGAGTGGAGTCCGGCACCTCCAGCCTTCCCGAACAGCCTTTGGGCGAGAGAATGGCAGCTGGGCCCAATTTTTCCAAGCGACAGAGTGATCCCCCATTCTTCCGAGGGAGAGTTGTTAAAACATGGATTCACAAACAACCGAGACCTGTCGGATGCAAAAGCAAAGTGGCTCTTTATTAACTAGTTAGGGTCCAATTCTGCCCAATAGACTGACACAGCAGCCCCTTAGGTCAGAAAAGGACCCCTGAAGGAAAGCAGTTTGGCTTAGCAGTTTAGCATAGTTAGCAATTCTGGGCCTCAGGCTGATAAGGAGGTGCCCACAACCTTGCCCGCGACCTTGACTACGGACTGGCTGTCCCCATCTTCGTACATGGGTCGGCACAGACCCAAAAACCCCACCTTATAGGCTCTTTTTTGTAAATAATTTTTGATACTTCCCACCCGCCTAGCCGGGGGCTGGCCAATGGGCACAGGCCACAGTAGCCCCTTTTGTTATAGTAATCCCCTTTTTTCATGTATATAAGCTTGATGCTGAAAATAAAGACAGGGCCTTTTTCCTGGTGAACAGACTCACGGTGGGTGTCTGTCCTTTTTCCTTTCAACCCCGAACTGTTAAAAGCTGGGATTTTTGGGCCCTCCCTGGTGGCGCAGCGGGTTAAAGCACAGCACCGAGAAGCTGAGGCCACTTCCGCATGAGTTCGATTCCCGCCTGCCCCGGAGGTGACCACATGGCCCGGCAGACCTCTCCTGACCCGCCTGCTGCTCCCCTCAGCAGTGTACTTCGTTGATCTGCCTGTTCTGCTCCCCACTCTGTCTCTGGTGAAGCCTCTCACCCTCCGCATCTCTGGCCTGTACCCCAGTTCTGTCTTTATAAATAAATAAATCTTAAAAAAAAAAAAAAAAAGCTGGGATTTTGATAGTCCTTACACTAGGAAGTCAGCATAGGGGAATTTTCATTACAGTTTTTGGGTGGGCCATCCGGCAGTCTCGATTCAGTAGATGGGTTACTCATGAAGGAAAGTAGTTTGGCTTACTTTGCAATTCTGGGACCCAGCTGATAAGGAGGCCCATGGCCTTGAGTCTGACTGTCTCCACCACCAGATATGGCTATAGATCCAATACCCCCTGCTTATAGGCCCTTTTCCTGTAAATAATTTTTTCATTACTCTCCACCTGCCTAGCCGGGGCCTGGCCAATGGGCACAGACCACGGCACCCCCTTTTGTAGTGTATATAAGCTTAGTTCTAAAATAAAGACTTGTACTTCTTGGTGAACAGACTCACGGCGTCCGTCCTTTCCTTTCAACTCAGATAGGCTTCCTGGAACGTCTTGTTTGTTCCTGGTAACCGTTGCTGACCTCAGAACTGACATTTTGAAACTGCCTGCGCCAACATTCCATAGACATTTTGCAATGACCATAAAAGACATTTCTGCAAGAACATACATTTCTACAGAGTGACCGACCGCACGGACCCGCGCCACAGCCGCCTACCAGCTCTGGCCCGCTCTGCAATCGCGCCTGCACTCAGCCGCCGGGGCACCTATCCCTGGCGCCCCTACCCCGTGTCCCCGCGGCCCCAGGGCGCGGGGTTCCCTTCACCCCACACCTACCTCCAAAGACAAAGTCCACTAGAGCCCGGTGCGGTGTAAGAGCAGCGGCGCTTCAGGAACTTCCGGGAAGAGGGTGAGGGGCGGGGCCGCGCCTGCGCAGAAGAACGCGGAAGCGTCCGTCCTAGAGCCACTGGCGGGCATCGCGTGGCCTCGCGGGACTACATTTCCCACAAGTTCGTGCGCGCCGCCGCGGCGGTCGAGACTCGTGTCTGTGTCTCTTCGCAGTGAGGCCCGACGGGGAGGGCATCAGGTCCGCGGACGGTCGTCCGGGGAAGGAGACGGGGAGCTACTCCAGGGAGGCGCGGAGGAGGAGGGGCCACGCTTGGTCCCCTGAGGAGCGAGTTCCTCTCTTGTGCTCCAGCTTAAGTGGTCTCGATGTCCCTGGTGCTGAGTTGTCTGTGGGATGATGGAGCAGCCTGACGCCAGGCAGGCTCGCAGGAGAGCAAGCTCAAGGTCATGACCATGATTGTGCGCGGGTAGCTTACCTGGCTGTGCATTCTGGAGCAGATCGGGTGGAAGGTTTGGCGTGTGGGCTAGGGGCTGGGATGGGGGCACCGGGAGAAAGGAGGGGTCAGATGCGCCAAGGTGGGCTGACTTCCCCTAGGTGTCCTCATAAAGAAGGTCATTGTTGAGCCCTCCCTGGTGCCCAGAGGGTTAAATCACAACACTAGGATGCTATGGACTTAGATCCCTCGCCAGGGAGTGACCCACAGGGTGCAGCAGACCCCTGTCTTACCGCTGCTCCCCTCAGCACTGTATTTCAACAGATCATTCTGTCTCTGTGAATCCTCTCACCCCTGTATCTCTGGCCTGTATCCCAGTTCTTACATGCAGAAATAAATAAATCTATTTTTAAAAAAAAGAAACCTATAACTTACGGTAAATGCTAATCATAATACCTAATGTTTACATTATCCTTCACGCACGATCTTTATCCCAACTCAAACTGTACCTCTAATCTAAGCCTTAAACACTAAATCACTACTGTCACCTCCAATCCAACCCACTCACATCACAAAAACAAAACTACAGACCTACACCCTCCATAAAATAACAATATAAACAAAAATACGCACATTATTGCTTGTTAAAAGATATAAATACCACCGCCATCTTTAAGCCCAGAATTTTAAGGGTTGTTCAGCATACTGAAACAATATAGCACGTTCACTGTGTAGAGGAAAAAATATTTAGAGCAGAAAAAAACTTTGAAACAAAATCCAGTACCCTTTTGTGATATAATTACAAAGTGAGAACTAAAGAAAATCTTTTTAACATAATAAAGAGCTTTACACAAAGCCAAAAGCAACATCATAGTTCAACATTCCCTTTGCTTATTTATTTATATGCCACAGAGAAATGAAACTACTTAAGAACTTTGACTTACTTCGCTAGTATCCTTACCAAGTACCCTCCATTTTGTCACGAAAAGCGGTGGTTTGTCGGGAACTGGCCCCGAAAAGCGGTGGTTTGTCGGGAACTGGCCCCGATCACGGACGATTTGAGGGCAAAACAGGCAGGGTCCAAAGGTGGGGGCGGTGTTGGCGGGGGAGATTCCTAAAAGGGGAAAAGGGGAGCGGGCGCAAGGAAGACACGGGACTGGGAGTTGGGAGCAAATCTTGCTGCTCATCTTTTTGCAGGTCTTTATTTATACTGTTTAGCAAGATTTAGTTACAATAATGC